ACCCAAGATGTTTGGTCGCGTGGCTCTCATACTGTGTATTCCCTTCAAGGTAATTCTCCCACGGAAAATGCAGCTAGAAATGACGCTACTACGACTTCTCGTAATCAAGCACAAAGGAGTTCTGGCAGCTCAAACAACTCAAGGTCCTCTGATCTTAGTAGGAAAGAAACGAACTACAATCATGGTAACGTTATAGATAGAAGTCAGAGATATTCCAAACCTGAGAACCTTGTGAATGATGTACAGGGAAGGTTTCTGTTTGCGAGGACACGTTCTAGCCCAGAGCTTACCGACACCTACTGTGAAGTTTCATCTCCATCAAGGCGTAACAGAGTTCCTGAAAGTGGAAAAACCCATTCTAACAGAATAGATGCCAGCAGGAGGAAGAACCTTGAATCTGATAATGTGGAAAACCACTTGAGGTCTTTGATCGACGATCCTTCTACGGTTAGACATATCCCATCCCGTCAGAGCATTGATGCTGCTAGTGATTCCAATTGTGGTTCAAATAGTTTCCAGAATGAGTCTGGCCCGGGGACTGTTGGTGAGGATTTTGCTTCTATTTCTGGGACATTGGCGATGCATCAAGAGGAGCAAGATCTTGTTAACTTGATGGCTTCATCTTCGGCCCTTAATTTTAATGGACATGTTCATCTGCCACTGAACTTGACGGCAGGTCACCTACCTCTTCCATTACCTTCCTCTGTTTTAGCCCCTGTGGGCTACGCTCCTAGGAGCTTGGGAGGTATGGTTCCCACCAATATTCCCTTGATTGAGACTCCTTGGGGCACAAATATGCATTTCCCACAAGGTTTTGTTCCTTCTCCATTGACTCAGTATTTCCCTGGCATGGGATTAACAAGTTCAGAAGATGGCATTGACTCGGGCAATGAAAATTTTAGTTCGGTAGAAATTAATTCACGAGAGGGTGATCAAGACTTTTGGCACGAGCAAGATAGAAGTTCTACTGTGGGGTTCGATCAGGACAATGAGGGATTCGAAGTGTCTCAGACAGAAGATAAGCAGCAGTCAACTTCTGGAGGTCTTAACTATGTTCCTTCGTCTCGAATGTCAGCATCTGGCAGTACTACTGTTCCCCATAAAATGCATGCGAAAGAAAATCGAGTGGCAATGAAGGATGGGAATGTTAATGCTAATGCTTATCAAGACGACCGAGAGAATGAAGCAGGTTATGATGACAAACCATCGTCCTTTAGGCCATTGACCACTCCCACACAATCTAGTGGCCTAAGAAATAAGACCACCACCGAAAGTTCTTGGGACGAGTTGCCTTCAAGAGCCTCAAAATCATCTAGGGAGAAACGGGGATGGAAATCGAATACCTCTGAGCTGTCCTCCTCTTATGGGAAAGGCAAAAATGTTTCTGAACATTCATCTATCGCGACTGATGAAGATAGCAAAGATTGGAATCACCTACCAACTATAGGTACCGAAATGGCCGAAATAAGCGGTGGACCTCAATCGATGGCTGCATCCATGCATGCTACAAGGCATCAAATAACTGGACTTGAACCACCCCATACTCCTGGGTCAGATCCACTAATACCATTTTCTCCAATGCTCTTGGGCCAAGGTTCTAGACAAAGAGCTGGGGACAATTCTGGGGTGGTTCCTTTTGCCTTTTATCCTACAGGGCCGCCCGTTCCGTTTGTTACAATGCTTCCAGTTTATAATATTCCATCAGAGACGGGAACTTCGGATGCTTCAACTAGTCATTTCAGCGAGGAGGAATCCTTGGATAATGTTGATTCGGCTCAGAATACCGATTCCGAAGGACATAATAAGCCTGATGTTTTAACCATCTCTAATCCTGTGAAAGGGTCTTCCTCCACTGAATCTTCAGATCCCAAATATGACATTCTTAATAGTGATTTTGCAAGTCATTGGCAAAACTTGCAATACGGGCGGTTTTGCCAGAACTCTCGGCATCCTTCACCTGTGATTTATCCTTCACCTGTAGTCGTACCTCCTGTCTACCTACAGGGTCGTTTTCCATGGGATGGTCCTGGAAGACCTCTTTCAGCCAACATGAACTTATTTACTCTGGGTTATGGGTCTCGTTTAGTTCCTGTTGCTCCTCTCCAGTCCGTTTCTAACAGGCCGAATATATATCAGCATTACATTGATGAAATGCCGAGACATCGCAGTGGGACCGGAACATACTTGCCAACTCCTGTAAGAAACTTCTTCCCTTATTTAATGATTTGTTGGTTCAGCTGTTATATGAACAGTTTCTTCGAGTACACGTACCCCGTTTCGTTCCTATTGTTATATCGAATTAAGTTCATTTAGAAACAAACTAGGAAGACAACTTTAATTACTATTTGTTTGTTTCATGTTTTTCTTTTGTTTCCCTTTTCTCTGGCTGAAAATTTCTGCATTTTTGTTCCTGCACTATGTTTGCTGTTCAATTGTTTGTCCTGGTTAGGTGGTTCCTTGCCTTCTTGAATGGTTTGAGTTATACCTAGCATGCTATTCTTCCTTTTCGAGATTTTTACTTCACTTCTTTTAATTTTTCTAGAAGGCCTCAGCACGGGAACGACATTCGTCAAATTCTAGACGAGGAAACTATAGCTACGATAGAAGTGATAGTCATGGTGAAAGAGAAGGGAACTTGAACATCAATCCAAAATCACGAGGCTCTAGTCGCCGTGGTCAAGTTGACAAGCCGAATTCCAGGTTAGACCGCTTGTCTTCAAGTGAGAATCGAGCTGAAAGAGCATGGAGCTCACATAGACATGATTCCATGACTTATCCTTCCCAGAATGGTCCGCTCCGCCCGAACTCCACCCAGGGTGGTACAACTAGTATGACTTATGGCATGTATCCACTACCAGGCATGAATCCTGGCGTGGTGTCCTCTAATGGACCTTCTATGCCCTCTGTTGTGATGTTTTATCCGTTGGATCATAATGGTGGGTATGGCTCACCTGCAGAACAGCTCGAGTTTGGATCTCTTGGACCTGTAGGTTTTTCCAACGTAAACGAAATGCCTCAAATGAATGAAGGAGGCAGAATGAGTAGAGCATTTGAGGATCAAAGGTTTCATGGTAGCTCGAATCAACATACTCCTCTCGAAGAACCTCCTTCGCCTCGTCTACCAAGGTAGCCTTAGCTCAATCTCCTTCACGACCGAACTATTTTCCAAGATAGGAAAGCATCAACTGAAAAAGAAGGTATGACATGACTGTCGAGCTGTGTTGGTTGCGTACTTTGATTCTACTTGCAGCTTGCAGCCATCTCAGGAGCCATAACCGTGCACCGCCGATACGAGCAATGCGCATCAGGAACCCCCTACCCTTTGCACTGTTTTTCCTCCGAGGGCATCCACATTTGGGGATTCTCCCTTGTTTTGTTTTGGCAAATAAATATATCAAAGAGGAACTTCTGGTCGAGCTGAGGGTGATCCGATCTGCCTGCCTATTGCATTTTGAACCGAGGTAGGTGTCGACAAGTGGACGAGGTCTCTGAAAGCTCGTTCTTACTCGGCTTGTCAAGTGAAGCATCTTCCGGGTCAAAAAAAAAAAAAAAGGTTCTCATGGAGAAACCAATGGCGCACGGTAGTTTGTATGTATATTAAAGAGCGAAATCCATCCCATTTAGAGGGACAGAAAAGTGGCAGGTGAAGGAAGGAGGTCGTGGGTGTCGGGCGAGACGAAGATGAAGACGAAGACGCTCGATTAATGAAGTTAGAATGTAGAAATCCATGTCATTACAACACGATTTGTTTCCTTGGGAGTTCTGTCACTGTCACAAAAAAATACATTACATTAGGACTGCCAATTTAGAGTCTTACTTCACTTTGTAATAGTTTTTTGTTTTTTTTTTTTTCCTGTTTTACAAACTCCTTCCTTTTTGCACATGACTTTGACTTTGACATTGACAGAATAGTAATGATAGCAGCAGCAGCATTCAAACATCCTTTTTGTCTAAATTTATCATTTTATACTCATCTCAGTTTGTCGTCAACCCATTAAACTTAGGTCTATGTTGGCGCGATGTTCATGTGTCTGACTTCGGTTTGAAATACTTAGGCCTCTCCAGTAAGTCCACCAAAACTTAGATGAAAGTCAACCAACTAAATTATTTGAGTTTTTGACAAGTATTTTGAAAAACTTGGGTCCTCGGGTAAGTCAACCAAGGTCTATGTTCTTGAAAAACTTGAGTCTCTCAAGTAAGTCAACCACGGTCTATGTCCTAGAGAACAAAGTCAACAATTCTAGATAATAGAGTTAACTGTTCAACCGTTCTAGAGAATAGAGTCAACAATATGTTCAACAGTTCTAGAGAGCAGAGTCAACAGTATATTCACAGTCCTAGAGAATAGAAGTCAACTGTAGAGTCATCCATTCTAGAGAATAGAGTCAACAGGGTCAACAATATGTTCAGTTCAAGAGAATAGAGTCAACGGTACTTCAGTTTAAGGGCTAAGATTAATATAGCTTATGTGATTGAGTAAATGAAATGGCCTAACTACCTTCCTCCACGTAGATTTTGAACATCACGTGGCAATAAATAATCAAACACGTGGCACCACTAAATCTTTATTGTTCCATCTATTTCCATCTCACCACCTATGGTCATGTCCTGTCCCCACCCATATAAGGTAAAATCTTAATGCTTAGATAAAAAAAAAAAATTTATATTCCAATGCTTGCCGCTATCGAAGTTGAGATCACCGTCATGCTTTACCTAAATGAAGTAATATCGAATTCTTAGATGAAAACTTTTTATTACAAGAGTCGTAGACGTAGATGCAATAGAAGACCGCACGCGATCCCAAATAAGAAAATATCCCGACCTCAAACTCTTTTATTGAATTCATTTAAACTAAAAAAACGAAATTTTCTTGAAGAATGAAATGATCTACATCAATAAGTTAATTCAAATTAAAAATATTTTCAAATATAAATTTAAAAATTTATATAATTTAAATATGAAATTAAATAAGATAATAAATAATAAAAGGAAAGGGGGGGAATTTGTCGGCAGAGCATTGGGTAAGCGAAAAAAGTCATACTTCTCTGCTTCTTCAACCTTCTCCTTCACCCATTTTTCTCGTTATCATCTTCAACCCAAATCCATGGAGTCGCAGTACATTCAGAGCCACCACAGACATAATCCGGCAGGCAACCAGTGCTCCTCCGCCGTTTTCAAGCACATCAAAGCTCCTGTTCACCTCGTACGTCGATCCTCCGTCTTTTTCATCTCAATTTCAATTTGTTTCTGTTTCTTTCCCATCCTTATTCCTAGATTTGTGTTTTAGGTCGTAGATTCAGCACTTCCCCCAATTTCTGTCAACTATTTCATTTTCGATCAAGGAAAATGAAAACGTGATTTGTTTCTAAATTTTGTTGTTGATTTGTTAGGTATGGTCGTTGGTGAGGAGCTTCGATCGGCCGCAGAGGTACAAGCCTTTCGTGAGTCGGTGTGTGGTTAGAGGCGATAACCTTGGAATTGGGAGTCTTAGAGAAGTTAATGTTAAATCTGGGCTTCCTGCTACTACCAGCACTGAGAGGTTGGAGCTTCTTGATGATGATGAACATATTCTTGGTGTCAAGATTGTTGGTGGTGATCACAGGCTCAAGGTATTGCTCTCTTTTGTTCTTAATTTCTTCTTTTAGCGGTTGCTTTTCATAAATTTGTTTGGTAGATGTTCTAAACTCCCCTGTTGAACTGAGAAGGAATTGACGAGTAAGTGCTAAAGATAATTGAGAAGGAATTGATATTGCTGGTTCTCAAACACATGATCTTCTTTTCTAGTATAAACTCGATTATCACTGATACTTCAAATCCTAATGCAAGTTATGTAACAAGTTGAGAACATCTGAAAATTAATATGCTTGAGAGATTCTGAATTCTTTGCAGAACTATGCTTCGATTATCACTGTCCATCCCGAAATCATCGATGGAAGGCCGGGAACATTGGTAGTCGATTCATTTGTCATGGATGTGCCCGAGGGGAACACGAAGGAGGAGACATGTTTCTTTGTCCATTCCTTAATAACCTGCAACCTCAGATCACTGGCCGACGTCTCCGAGAGGATGGCTGTGCTGCAGGATGCAGCCGAACCGATTCCTCAATATTGTATATAAGCAAGAACAAAATGGAGGAAAGCCTTTCCAATCGATTTTTCTGTTACTATGGATTTGTCATCTCATTGGAGACTCGCCCAGTATCCTCTTCTGATTTTGTTTTCATATATTACCTCAATTCTAGGATAGTATCTCATGTTTTTGTTCTTGTGGGTCGGTGGAACTCCCAAAGACGTGGAGTTCTATTTTGCTTTCATTGTCATAGATATAGATATATATGGATATACTATCGTCATAGATATAGATATATATGGATAGTATAGAAATGTCTTCGGTTAGTATATGGATACTTGAGGTGTTATAGTATAGAAATGCTTTGGTCAGTGTATGGATACTTGAGGTGTTATGTATATAATATGAACTTTGAGATGCTAACCCAATTACTTATGATGCATCTATCTTATTCGGGGAAGAACTTATGGTTAAAGTTAGATTTTCTGGAATATATTATCTGGTCTCATTAGTAATGAGAATGTGATTCTACATGATTTGAGTGATGAAAGACATGGAAACTCGACACAAACGAAACCTATATGAAAATCAAATGGATTAAACTTGAAACTTAACGTTGATTGTATAGAAAGAGTTGGTTGAACGGGAAGTTTAAGATAAATGGTAAACTTTGTTCCTCTAAAAAGAATTATAGGTCGGTTCAGAAACCTATGATAGGTGAAAGTGGTGAGGTTGAGAAAGGACAAATCTTTCGATTCGGCGTAGATGGTATTAAGGGAATTGTTTTTTTTTTCTTTTAACAAAAATTCGAGTAAAACAACCAAATTATATAGTAAGCATTAACGAGCGATATATCCATAATCCAACCATTACTACTCGAGGCTCGAAAACTTGGGATCTTGAGCTAAAACTAAAGGACTTGTACAGTATCTCGTTCTCTTATCTATTTGACTTAAACGTGATTTGAGAAAAGCTTTCATTGGTATTTTTGAACAGAAACCATAGTTACTGCACAGCAGAGCACATTCATGAATCCAGTCCCTAAGGATTTCTAGGAGTGTACTACAAAATAGACAAGTTTATACCTCTCACCATCTTTCTCGGGGCCGTCCATCGGGTAATACGGGAGAAAGAAGACTCTGATCGAGCTTTTGCGAGTTATCGACCTGCCTTTGCTTCCTTGCTTCAATATTTATGGATTCGCCATCTCGATCTCCATTGAAACTCGGTGGGGTATCATCTTCTTCATCACTCCAATTATCCTCAAAAGCTCCATCCTCATTGTCGTCAAATTCATCATCATCGTCCAAAAGGTTATCGATATCAGATGACTCATCACCACTCATATAATCTGGCTGATCGTCTCCCCCATCTGTGTCGTTTTTGAGTGCTCCTCTGCCTCGGATTCGAGGAACAGCAACAAGAGCTCGGAGTTTCTCCTTTATGATTAGTAACCGATCTTTGTCGATCAACTGAGAATTACGATATGCTTCTCTGAGGAAGACCGAATCTCTATCCCCCTTCAGTGAGACGTAAAACATATCGGGATGCCTTATTAACATCCCCCTCAACTGCTGCGAGAATCTAAACTCTTCTCGAAAATGAGTGAGATGATCCACTAGAGTTCTCTTCTCAAGTGTGAGGCTTAAAATCTCATGAACAACCCCGCAAGCGTGTTTCTCTTTCTCGGGCGTACCTGCCTTAAGCCCCGAGAAATCAGAATAGGGAGAGATGTAAGGAATGTCCCTAAACTGACAAATTCTCCTCATTTCACTCTTTGAGACGTTAAGCCCCTTGGGTAGCCTCACACGATTAAACTTCAGCGGTCGGTCAATAATCAAATTCTTCTCTTCCAACTCTATAGCTCGGTTTTCCTCTTCTGCCAACTCTGATGCAGAAACTGCAAGTTCAGGATCCCAGTGAGTCAATTCGAGGGCTGGACCACGCCCCGTTGCTACAACTCTAAAGTACTGAGGATAACCGTGACAAATCGTTTCACGAAACTCTAAAGGAAGACCGAAATCAGTCCTCAAATGAGCAATCTTCTCCAACAATATTCGTTTATCAACCGACATCATCAGTAGCTTCCTCAGCTTCATAACCAACAAGCCTTCCATCTCATTCCTGATCTTCAACTCCTCCAAATATAACCTTTCGGCCTCCGCCGTTAACTTGACTTTCAACGAAAATGCCCCTTCTTCCACAACCTCAAACACTGCAGGGAACTTCTTCAACAAAGCAATTAGCCTCCTCTTTTTCTCCAGACCCAAATCTCTCCTGAATTTACCTAGTTCCTTAAGCGACATAACTCTATCAGGATGTTGAACTAGAATCTTCCTAATCCTCATAACTAACTTCAGCTTCTTATCCCTCTGTATAACATTATCGAACGGAAGCTCTTTCCTCCGTTTCACAATAGCTCTAATCGGTTGAAAAGGAACACGAGATTTTCTTAAATCACTACCGGAAAAACCATCATTTCTGTGCCGCAAATCCAAGTTCTTCCCCCAAAATTCCGATTTAACAGACAAAGAAGGATTCTCAAAGAAATAACCTCTATGCGGAAGAACGAAAGGTATGGACATGGATAACGAAGCTTTGGGCGAATAAAAAAGTACCATGGAATCCATAAACTGGAGCTATCAGTTGATTCTATGAGACAAGAAATAAAGAAGAACAACAAAGATTAACTCACCTGCTCAGCTCGAGCGAATTGAAAGGAACCGATTAGGGTTTATCTTGAAGGAGAAACCCCTCTCTTCAAAGTCGCAGAGATTTTTTCATGGGCGCAACCGGGCAACAACGATATGTGTATATCCACTTCTTAATTTTTTCTTTTTCAACAAATAATTTTTTTTTTTTAAATATTATTTTAAAATAAATATTTTAACACTATAAATTTAGTATCTTTCGCTAATTTAAAGGTTTTTTTAATTATAAATTTAATTATTCTCTTTTAAATATAAAATTAAATTTCATGTCTATATAGTTAAGGGTTGATTATTTTCTATTTTTGAAAATTATATTTATTTTTCATCCTCGAATTATTAACTAAATTATAATTTTTTTAATTACTTATTTTAATTTACAAAATTGAATATATATATATATATATATATATAACAAAATAAATAAAAAATTATAAAGGAGAGAAAAATTGAAAGTTTGATGAGGATAAGGTTTATGGGTATTTTTGAAATATTCCTGTTCCCGCCTGCGGGATATTTTAAGAAGTGAACATCTTTCTTAGTCACAGGGTTCGGGAAAAGAGTAGAAAAAGTGTAACAATCTAAAATAATGATAATATGTATTTTGTATTTATTTGTTGTGTGTTTGATGATGATGATGATAATAATAATAATAATAATAATAATAATTAAAAAAAATCGAAGCAGCTGCTGTAAAGAGGGATGAGGGGCGGCGGACGCGTAGGCTGGAGGCGTGGGATTGATGAGTGGATTATTAGAGGATGTGGAAGCGTATTAGGGCCTTGATTAGGTTTTAAAAAGGGAAGAAAAACGAATAATAGTGATTAGCGAAAAACCCAGAAAACAGAGGAGGAAATTTTTGAGAATTCGAGTTTTGGTTGCTTAAAAATTGGACATCAATCGAGGGTAAAGGAAGAGGGGTTGTTGCTGAGGAATCCTTTGAGGAAGGGGATACGACCACGAGCTGAATCGGACGGTGATTCGAAGGTAACGAAAAACCCATATCACCGAACCTTTAAATCTCGATATCTTGATTCATACTGCATAATAAATTATGAAATAAGGCTTGTTAGAACCGTAGTTAGGAGATCTATAAAGTTGTAGAAGAAATCAGCACGAAATTCGAGCTGTAGAAATGAAATTTTTGCTTCGGGACACAACGGGTATTAAAGGAAAAAGATTGAAAAAAAAAATTGCAGGGAGGAGAGGTTGAAGACGAGCGCGTGAAGGACATGCGAGGCGCGTGGGAGGCCGCGAGTGGAAGTGCGATTGTGCGCGGATCAGGCGCGTGAGAAACGAATCCTGACCTTGTGTTGGCGCGTGAGCAGGTATTTTGGCTCCCGGTTTGTCCCGTTCGACTCCTTTTGACCTGTCCTATCAAAATTGGTCTATATTTATGTTGAAATTGATAAAATATAGGCTAATAGGAAGGAATTGTGTTGAAATACTATTAAACGTACATTCAAGGGGGAAAATGAGTTCGAAACCAAGTAAGTAACGTATCGATCTATGAACTAGTTCTTAACTTGTTTTACAACATGTGAGTGTGTTGTTTACCTGATTAAGAGCTTAGAATGTTATGATAAGCTTTGATGATATTGAGTGTTTATTGTATATTGTGACTGCTTGCCTGTGATGTAAGCATGATATAAATACTTGTCAGAATGTTCTATGTGTTGAACATGATATATGTATGAAAGCATGCAGTAACTGTGAGTATGTTATGCATGTTAATGAAAAGGTTATGACTCTAGATATGCTTATTGGTTGTTGAGCTATGACTTATTTATATGAGTATGATAGTCTACTAATTCCCGCGGAGTTCCTGGCCAACGTGCTGTGTGCTAAGTCAGGGAGCATGAGTACTCCTGACCGTTGGTATATGAGATAAACAGGCCGCCAGACCGTTGGTATATGAAAGAGAGTCAGTAACCTAGCTGGAGGTAGTTGAGATACCTCATTAACGAACAGATGACCCTAGTAGGAAAACTAGGAGTCAATGATGAATAAAACTTAAAAACACCGGGAAAGATTAGTTATGAACTCTTGAATGATAAGCTAGCTACTTACTGAGTAATCAATTACTCATCAAAATTATTATAACTTTTCTTTCCAGATTTAGATGATGCAGGTCAACCGAGAACGAGACCAGCGGGCTAGGGACTACTAGGAATCCATGTCTGGGTCTGTTTATGTAATTATGTTTTTCGTTGTCAAGAATTTACTTTGGTCATTTTAAGTTGTTAAAAGTACTTGTTTTAAATATTTTGAGTTTTATGATTGGATATGAGTTTGTTATTTGTTGTCGATGGTAACTCCTGTTAATCGCGTTGACGAAGAGCGGGTGTTACAAAAAATGATTTCATTATATTTCTGACCAGGAACGGACACTTTTACAAGAATATTTTTTTAAGTGAGACGATAGCTCTGAAAAGACAGATTGCCCATATTTTCTTTAAAAAAAAATACAATCGGAGCTGATTCAAACTTAAAAGAAGAACAGCCCCCATTCAAACCCCCTTTTTCCCGTTCGCAAGGTTGCATATCACAAGAAATTCGAACAACTGCTTCAAAAACAGTATCAGGAAGTACCGTTTGTGGAACCTCGATATCCATGGGCTTATTAGCTAAATGGCAGTTGATGCAGACAATACGGTCGGTTGCTTCTCGTAGATTTTCATAACCCTGCTGTCGATAATAAATATATTTATTTATTTATTGAATTATTAAAATTTTGAAATTAAAAAAAAAAAAACTAAAAAATTTAGAATATTAATAAAACTTTTTTTAAAACGCTAAAAATAATAGCGGGAAGTTGTGTTTTAGTTGACCCTTTTTGAAAGCGGGCAGTATTGCCCCCAAATTGAAACAGCGCAGAGCTCCAATTCCTTTCTGCCTGCTCCTCATTCTCGCGCTACTGCTCTTAATTTTGAATCAATGGCGCGAGCGAAGCATCCAACCCAACGGAACTCTAATCGCAAGCCATCAGGTTCTCTCTGCCACACACAGTAATTTGGATTTACTTCCCGTTTTCATTCATGGGGTTTTTTTGGGTTCGTAATGATTTTGTTCATGGAAATGTTTTTGCTTTTGCATTTGCCTTTTCTTTTCCCTTCTTCTTACAGCTTGTTTTTTTTTTTTTTTGGTAAAATCTTAGTTGCCGGAGCTTCACCGTCTTCCTCAGCTGCGCCGTCGACGGTATCACTTTCCCGTAATTTGTGACAATGTTTAGCATTTCGTGAATGTTTGCACCATTTTTATGTTGTTTGATTATGTATGATGGAAAAGATGTTAGGAAAATTTCAGTGTATGGGTTTGTGAAGTCTGGTTTTAGCTGATACGATGACTTAAGAATTTTGGAAGATGAGAATGTTGCCATTGCATGAATCTTTCTTTGTATCTTGCTGAGAAAACAGTGGAATGAGGGAATAACTTATCAAATCTTTGTCCTGTCGATTTTTGCCACTGTTTGATGTAGCAAATGTGTGATTCTTTCATTTTTTGCTCGAGAGAAATTATAGACCTTTTATAGATCCTTTGTCTCATTGTAGGCTTTGGTGGCTAAGGCCTTTTGTACTTATGAGCTAGTTTTGGTTCTTTTGAATTGAAGTCGTTTCTTGTAGGTACATTTTTCATTTTTCTCAATGAAAACCCAATTTCCTATTGAAAAAATGTGACAAAAGGAGAGATTAAGTGGCAAAACTAAGTAACCTTCTTGCATTTCAAGTTTAGCACTATCGGCTTCGCTTAGCGATTGTTCTTCGATGAGATTTCAGCGCATATGTGCTTAGCAAATTACTTTGTAGATGTTGCTCCACCTATCAAGTCATTCATGGATGGTGAAAGGGCTTAGCATTTAGAGCTTGGGTATCCTATGATTATGATACATACCATTTCTACAATGAAGGGCTTAGTATGTCGTTTGGTTAGGTTTTCGGATACTAGCAGGCGATGTGAGCTTGTGACAAGGTTTTTATACCTCCAATTTGAGAAATTTTTAGAGGAGATTGCCACATTGTGATCAATAGTTGAGCTTGTGACAAGGTTTTGATACCTCCAATTTGAGAAATTTTTAGAGGAGATTGCCACATTGTGATCAATAGTTTTGTACTGCTAGATTTAGGAGAGAAAAATTGCAAAAGTACTTCAATTTTGTATCCAAAAGTTATCAAGGGACATAATTTTTTTAAAGTTCATATCCAACGTCAGCTATATTATGGCTATCTCATTGAATAGTTTTTAAACTCTATATGTTTTACTTATCAAAGGGTACATATAAGTTACTATATAGAGGTGGTTACTACTGATGAATAGTATATAAGGCCAAGTGGTTTGAAAGGAGAGATAATTGTCTTCTTATGTGTTTTAAGTAGAAAGTAGACCCTTTGAACGTCTACGAACTATGTACGTGACAGTACATTGCCTAGTTGGTTTCTAACTACGAAGATGTAACGTTTGCAACCCATGATCTCGGAGTCTTGGTTGCATATAGCAATTTGGATTTGATTTGTGGACCTCTTATGTCTACAACAATCAATTGGACTAGAGGGATTCCCTAATAGGAAAGGAAGTCCTCTCCTCAATTTTCCACTAAAGTATATTGGCTGATGCATTTTCTGTAGATGTGCTAGAGTACATATGGAAAAGAATTTTTGCTATAGCAGTGCCAGAGTATACGAGGAAAAGAACTTCTCAAGCAGTTGTTGTAACAGCCCAAACCCACCGCTAGCAGATATTGTCCTCTTTGGGTTTTCCCTTTCGGACTTCCCCTCAAGGTTTTTGAAACGAGTCTGGTAGGGAGAGGCTTCCACACACTTATCAAGAATGCTTTGTTCTCCTCCCCACGGACGTAGGATCTCACAGTTGTGCCTTTCCCAAACAGGGTTTGGAAGTTGCTACAAGTTTTGTTTTAAAGCCTATGGTTGTAGAGAGCTTTATATTTGTACATTCAAAATAATTTTTGTGATCTTGGTTTGCTTGGAATACTTTGGTGCAATTTATTTTTGTATAATTGGCTAATTAATAGTTGTTTCTGCAAATTGATAGCCACTTAGTGGAAGAACACAAAGTGGGAGGCAAACTCAGAGTGAGTTCTTTTATTCAGGCTTTTTAATCAAGAACAATTTGATTTTGATGATAGCGATGTTCTTGCATATGCTTCTTCAACTGGCTTATTCCTTTAATTTAGGTCCACTATCAAGAACAACGGGAAAAAAAAGACGCTTCAGACCAGGGACAGTGGCGTTAAGGGAAATTCGACAACTCCAGAAATCATGGAATCTGCTAATTCCAGCCAGCAATTTCATCCGCGCAGTGGGTTCTTTTTTTCCTCCTTTTGTTTATTTGAATGCAAGGACACCCTTGAATTAAAGTTTTCACTAATTGATTAAGGAGCCAGAAGTTTTCCTCTTGTTTATATTGAGATGTCTTCTTCTTTGCCATAACCGTAGCCTTGGTGCATGTAGTCTTTTTATAAGAGTTTACTTTATGCATATATATGACTGTTTCTTTTGGATGAAAATATAACTTCAATCAAGAAGGGGTTAACTACAAAATTACATGGACTGTTGGAAGAGGAGTCCACATCGGCTAATTAAGAGGTTGATCATGGGTTTATCGGAAGGAATACATCTCCATTGGTATGAGGCCGGTTGGGGAAGCCAAAAACAAAGCCACGAGAGCTTGTGCTCAAAGTAGGTAATATCATACCATTATGGAGGGTCGTGATTCCTAACATTACAGGAGCCAAAATTCTATGACTTTCTTGATATGAAAATATCGGAGGATCACATGGTTGTCTCATGAAACGAATCATGATGTGAAAAATATGAAGAAAACATAGAATTTGAAATGATGGATTGGCATTGAAATCTTCTTAACCCCCGCCGACCCGCCGTTTACAAAATTCTTCTCTCTAGCCAAATGTTCTACACTATTGCATTACAACCCGTTTGCAACAAAATATCCTTTGTCCTCAAATGGAGCTCTGTTAGTTTTCAGTTTTTAAGGAGAAAGAACATATTACTTGTTTTCTAATTACTTAACATGTATTGCTGTTGAAATTTGATCACTTGATGGTGATATTTAAAACCTTTGTAGGTGAAAGAAGTAAGCTACCAGTTGGCTCCGCAGGTTACACGTTGGCAAGCTGAAGCTTTAATAGCTCTTCAAGAAGTAATTGCTTATTTTCTATTGTTTGCTTGATTGAGCCTTATTTTCTATGACTTTCTTGATTGAGCCACACTATTTATGGCAATAGCTTTGGGAATTTGAAGCTCATTTTTTTAAAAACTTGTTGCAACTTGCAAATTTATCATGTCTAGCAGTTTGTTGACAGTACCTTTTACTATCTGTTAAGTATGTTCTAAAATTTACAAGAGTTGTTGCTGAAATTTACTAAGATTTCTGAACATGAGCTTCCTTTATGAGAATGTTCTTTGTTAGTTTGTTGTATGAATGTGTGTGTTTTCTCTCTAGCTCTTGTTTAATTCTGAAATTTACTAAGATTTTTTACCTGATTCAGGTTTTACTGCAGGCTGATTGTATTTTTGCTTTTGGTTATATTTTCTTAAGATCAAGTAAATTTGTACCATTAAACTTCTTGCATTTCTCTCATTTGTAGGCCGCAGAAGATTTTTTGGTTCATCTATTTGAAGATACAATGCTATGTGCTATTCATGCGAAGCGTGTAACAATCAGTAAGTCGATCATTAACAGTGTCCTACACACTGCACCAGCTTTCACCTTACTCGTTTTCGATGATATTACCGTTATGCTACAAGTAGATTCTTCTTAGGAAAAGCAATACTATCGAAACATATAGCGTGGTTGAGGCCAGACTGCATGAGTCACTATAATATAGTAAAAATATACTTTTGTTTGCTCGACGTCGTATGCTTCTTCAAATTGGTTCCTATGTTAAGAAATGATTGTGGATTGTTAGCCTGGTCAGTATGGAATAAGTTTCTTTTCAGCTCATTTTGAACTTGTCATGCTCAAAGAACAAATTTTCTAAGCAAGCATATGGACTAAGATATTTCACTTCTTGTTGCTCGACGTCGTATGCTTCTTCGAACTGGTTCCTATGTTAAGAAATGATTGTGGATTGTTAGCCTGGTTAGTATGGAATAAATTTCTTTTCAATTCATTTTGAACTTGTCATGCTCAACATGATCAACTTTTCTAAGCAAGCATATGGACTAAGATAGTTCACTTCTTGTTGCTCGACGTCGTAAGCTTCTTCGAACGGGTTCGTATGTTAAGAAATGATTGTGGATTGTTAGCCTGGTTAGTATGGAATAAATTTCTTTTCAACTCATTTTGAACTTGTCATCTCAGAAAACAAATTTTCTAAGCAAGCATATGGACTAAGATAGTTCACTTTTTGTTGCTCGACGTCGTATACTTCTTCGAACTGGTTCCTATGTGTTAAGAAATGATTATGGATTGTTAGCCTGGTTAATTTAACTCGTTTTGAACTTGTCATGCTTCTTGCTTTTCGTAAATAGTTTAACATGATTATGAACTCTGTTAGGTTCCCAGTGGCTTCCTCATTAGATATCATCTTCTGTCATCGTTCAAATTGTACGTATTGATCCTCTAAATGTTATCCATTTCCTTTGTTCTTTCCATTCAGTGAAAAAGGATTTTGAACTGGCACGCCGGTTAGGAGGGAAAGGGAGGCCATGGTAAGAAGATCTGTTCATTAGAAAGACGAGCCATTGTAGCTTACACCGACATCGCCACCACATTAGTTCGTACGATAGAATTCCAGTAGTTCATTGCTAGTAGTCACTGTGCATCCATATGTTGAAATTAGGCAGTAGACTGGACCAGAGTTCCCCAAAACTTGGAGTTTGTGTTAGCTATTTGACATAGATATTAGTATCCATTCAGCTTTGATATGACCGTTGCCTCCATACTGACTGCATTTTCAAGATGACGAACGGGCGAACTTCTGTAGGTAATTTGTGACTTTAAGTTCAACGATCGTAAGGTAAATGACTGAACCATCAATCTTTGATATGGTAATTCGTATTTTATTCTATTGAGCTATGCTCGAGTTGATTAGAGTAAATTTGTGATTATAACGTTTCAATGAATACCATATTTTGTTGAGGCAAAACTATCTTTGTGTGTTTTATTTGTTCGTGTTCCTTTTTGTTTGAATTTTTGGTTCCTCTCTGCATGTTGTCTTTTTACACGGGTGGGGTTAAAACATCTTTTTAATCTGTGTTTTTTTACTATGGTAACTTTTTGGATTATACGTAAATAACTCAATAGTACTCAAGGTTCGAAACATCGATGCTCGAAATGTCGAGATTTAGAATTTTCGGAAATATCAATTCAAAATTTAAAAAAATTCATACAAATAGTATTTAAGGTTCGAAATGTTGAGGCTTAAAATTTTCGGAAATGTCAATAAAAAATTCATGAATATATTAACCAAATCTTGATGAAATATATTACCAATCAATTTTTAAAATAAGGAAAAAATTCTAACTAATTACAACTCTATAGTCTGGCGTCGAACCCGAGCACAAGTGTTAATAGTCAAGCCACAGAACCACTCTGACAAACCCAGTAATTTCGAGAATTTCGTGTAGATATTTATATACTTTTATTTGGCTCGGGTCAACCCGAAGGTTTTGTCCCACAAAACTGAAACCGAACGGATTTAGTTCGGGTTAACCCAACCCTACCCGAAATGCTAATCCAAACCAACCAAACTCGGGTTGGGTTGGTCCGGGTTGTTGGGTTTCCGGGTTGAATGTACACCATATAAGTAACCTAAACCCTTCCTTAATCCCTCGCCGGCCTTCCACAATTCTCCCGAAGCCGTCTCCGCCCTTCCACAATTCTCCCGCGAAGCTGTCGCCGCCATAGCCAACGCTACGAAACCCGCACTTCGTCTACAACTTCCTATTTCATGGCGCCGAATAAGAGGAGGCTGCGAAACCCGCAGCCTTTTCTAACGGAAAACGAACTTGTGCCGAAGCATTCGAAAGCAAGAAAGCGCCATCATCAAGAGGATGAGACGCTTTTATCTTCTGGAATGAGCTCCAAGATATTTAGAGAAGCTCGTATTCAGCAGAAAGAAAATGAAATTGAAACTAGGAATCAAAACGCCAATCCTTTCTTTGAGCTTCCTGATGAAGAGGTTCCCAAGGATGATGAGGATGACATTGATGATTTTACTGGATTCTCTGAAACTCAAACTCAAATTGGTACTTATGAGGAGGTAGCGTAGCGTTCGCCAATCTAAGAATTTGATATAACGTGCTTTACGTCTTTGTTTATCGGATTTCAATTGTTTTTTTTTTCCCCTCCAAATTATCTTCTGTATCAGGAGGACATTGCTGAGGAAGATGAGCGATTAGTGGAAGCTTTTTTATCAAAGGATGTAGGGCCACAACGTACTCTTGCTGATCTTATCGTGACGAAAATCAAAGAAAACGATGCTATCGTCTCTTCAGGTTCAGATATGTTTTAGTGAAGTTTCAGTTTGGTGATACGTTTTATAATAGTTGATTCATGTTGTGATTCTATTGCCATTGTTGTTTGCTAATGCAGGTACACGGCCTCTGCCAAAATTAGATACCTCAGTCATAGACTTATACAAAGGGTATAAAATATGTCAATTTTCTTGTTGTTATTTAGAAAAAGAAAGCTGGGATATATGTTTGAGCTAAATCGAAAAACTTCATGCAGAGTGGGAAAATCTCTCAACAAATATATGGCTGGGAAAGTACCCAAAGCTTTCAAACGCATCCCTTCCATGCCGCTCTGGGAGGAAGTTTTATATTTAACTGAGCCTGAAAATTGGTCACCAAATGCAATGTTTCAGGCCACTAGAATTTTTGCATCCAATTTGGGAGTAAAAAAGGTGGAGAAATTCTATAAGCTTGTTTTGCTTCCAGCTGTAAGGAAAGACATTCAGAAGAATAAGCGGTTACACTTTGCTTTGTATCAAGCATTGAAAAAGTCCCTTTATAAACCCACTGCCTTCTTCAAAGGGATTTTGCTTCCTCTTTGTGAGGTATGTAATTCCTAACCATGACATCTCATGTCCATTATATTTCTTCATGAATTTTGGTTCCTACTTTCATATTCATTCTGAAGTAGCTTATGTTAGGATATTAAATTTTATCATGGGAAGGTTTGAATCAATCTAGATATGAAGGCTCTTGCCCTATTAGATATAGCTATTGCTCATGAGCTTTAGAATCTTCTGATGTTTTGGGCACTATTAAATTATAAAAAGGGATAATCAAGAATGATGATTAATAATGGGGATGATGGGGTTTTTTCCCAGTTTTTCCTTGATCTCAATGGAATTTTTCAAGTTTTTAGTAGTATATGCCTTGAATTTTCAATAATTTTCTTTTTATTGTAGCAAAAAATCATTTGTATTATCTACAAATTGGCGATGGGATACAAGAGAAACACCAGTGCACACCAAGAAACCTTGAATATTTCCATTGGATGTTCATTTTTTAAAATTCTGCTCAATAAAAATTAGTTAAAATAGAAAGGGAGCCAATGGATCCCCTTGTCTTAATTTCATGAAGCTTTATTCTACCTCTCGGTCTTCCATTGAGGAAGATGGAAAATATTGTACCATATACGCCCATCCTTTCATTCTTATAATTCATAGTCTTCCCCTTATTCTTTATCCACAGATTATTGGGTCAATGATTTGTCTCCATTTATACCATTTTTAATCCTTCTGTGCTTACTTTTGCTATTATTTTGTCCACACTGGCCACTGAACTTATGGGTCTACAGTCTTCAACTCCTTTTGCTTTCTCCACTTTACCTTGATTCTCACTGTATAGTGTATATTGAAAGTGATACCTCAGCAATGTGTAGAGCTCTTAATTTTATTGCTTTTTTTTTAATTTATGGTACTCTAATGAAACCTTGGTTCTTTCTTTCTACAGTCTGGCACTTGTAGTCTGAGGGAGGCAGTGATAATTGGAAGCATTATCGAAAAGGTTACGATTCCCGTGCTTCATTCAAGGCAAGTTAGTAACTTTAGTATCAATTTTAAAATTTTATTTCCCGAGATCAGGTACACAGACAAAAACAAGAAATGCTTTATACAGAGTTGTTTAATTGAAGGGTTTGGATTTGTCTTCTTTTTGCAGTGTTGCATTATTCAAGCTCGCAGAGATGGAATATTGTGGTACAACGAGGTATTAATTGTGAACTCATGGTAGTGATATTGTTCATAATTACAAATTTCAATAGCTATTTCTCTCTGAAAATCCACCATGGACTAATATCCAAAATTATGTCTACTTCTCAAACCCCAACGTCCTCCATGTATGTACACCATTCACTATAATCAACCTACTAAGTATTTACAATTATGCCACTAATAATATCCTTGGTGGTTGTTTGGGGGGATGCGGGAAGGGTGATGGCAATATTCTGTTCTTTTGATTGGGGGGAAGTGTCATGTCTTTGCCAGTATTTTTGTACATTTTGGATTACTGATGAAATTCTTTTTTTTTTTTTTTTTTTTTTTTTGTAATTGTATCCCAAACATTTTTTTTTCTATTTGGATAAATTTGAACAACACCGTCTTATAATTTTATTTTATTTTATATTTAATGTTGTGTGGTTTTCTCGATCTCATATTAATTTTACAACATTTTATTATTTTATATTAATTTACTTTTACTTTTATTTATTTTCACTCTCAATTTTAGTTTCTATTTGAGTTTTGAACCCTTAAAATTTGGGTTGTGACATATTGGTATCAGAGCACCTAGATTTTAAATTATATAGATTTTTTCTTAGGATAAAGAGTCGTATATCT